CATTCTTAACATCATAAACCATGATTTTCTGATTCAAAATAGCCAATATCAATCTATTTCAGCTCACTAACACTTTTCAATTTTGATGCATTCCACTGCATTTTTGATGACTGCCAATTTTCTTAGTTTCATACTTTGCACATTCCAAATCCTGATTAGCAGATTTTCGCAGCTGTCTTTCTCACGTTGGGTTGGTCAGGTTATATAAGTTGCAAATGAAGGTCCCACAGGCTTCACTCTCATTCGCTCCATTACTTCTCCACTTTGAGAAGGCAGCTCTTCATCAGTTGTATTTTGAGTGCCTCCTGGCCTGAGGGGCTTATCTTTGGGCACTATTTCTGGCAATGTTCCATTTCTATTCATTAGGCCTTCAGGATTTGACAATGTTTTGTTCCTATCCATCTGGTTTTCTGTGGCTAATTCCTCCTAAATAGAAAGCCTACTCCTTCATAGTCTATTCTTAGTGTGGAAGGAAGCGCTCTTAAAATCTGTTCCCTTTGAGTGACCCTGCTGGTGTTTGAAATACCAGTGACATAGTTTCCAGCATCACAGCTACACACAAGCTACCACATTTCGACAAACTGACAAGTGATGGCCCAAAACACCACTTCCCACTTAAAAAAAAGTTTTTTTCACCACTTCCCACTTAAAATACTTATGTTACAAAAAAAACCTTATATTTACTTGCTATTTTTATAAGCTCAATCCAATGAGAAGGGTACTTCTCAAGTTTATAATTGACACAGTACATCTTCTTCTTTGATACTATTTTGTCAGAATGTATAAAAAATTGGTTTTAGGTCAAGTTTTATTGAATGATTTAGAATTGTCAATTTCTAATACTTTGGGGGATCTAAAGTGATCTTTATTTTGTTGGTTTTCTTATATAATTCAAAAACGAATATTCATTTTACTTACATTTTTATGATAATGAAATGAAATGTAGTTTATAAGTTTAACACCCCTTTGAAAACTAATGTGTAATATATGGAGTATAAATGCTAATTAAAAAACCAAACTCACTACCATTGAGTCAATGTTGACTCATAGTAGAATGCCCAATCTTTCTTCCATGGAGCTGGTGGTGGTTTTGAACCGGTGACCATACAGATCACAGGCCAATGCAAAACCACTACATCACCAGGGCTCCTATAAATCCAGAAGAGACCTTTTAATATACTCTCTTCAACTTTCAGATTTGTTTCCTTTAGAATTTTATTACTTCATGAGCTAAAAATATATACAGATCCTCCAACAGAGGAAAATAAATTCCATGCCAAACTTAAATATTTCACATAAACCCAGTGCTACTTTTTCATGTAAGTATTCTGAAACATTCTCATTACTCCAAAATGAACCTTCTCTTCCACTGTGCAGTATTCGAGGTCTCACTCCCTGCAAGCTCTGGGAAATCACCAGTCTGTTGTTTTCTGTTTCTCGGGAGTCGGAAAATTTTGAAGACAAAAAGCCCGTTCTAGATCAACTGTTATCAAAGTCACTTAGCAACAGATGATATAAAACGTTCTTCTTACATCAATGAAGGCTTCATTTTGAAGTCAGTCTGCTAAACTTTTAAAATGCTCAACTTTAAAAAATCATTCTGTATTGAACTAAAATCTGCTTTCTGGGCAAACTTCCATTTATGTCTAGTTCTACTTGGATAAGTCATCCTTTCTAATATTTCAAGGTTATTTTCTACAAGTGCCCCATGATAAGAAAACGGAAAGAAAAAAAGTCCAATATTCTTGACCCGCTCTTTAAAAAGCATGGTTTCCAACATCTTCAAAATCATACACCTACATGATACTGATTTGCTACAATCTCAAAGTATACCACTTAGATAAAGCCTATTCACCTATCCGTAATGTAAGCAGACTAGATAACACTACTACTGTTTACTCTCTTAGGAAATTAGAATTTCGGTAATTGAGACAAATAATGCATTCCTCATTTCCCTAATAGACAACAAAACACAATGACTTAGTGGAGGTTTAAGCAAAAACTTAATGGCTAATTACCATGAAATTAGTAATCTATCCAATTCCCTACTCTCAAAGTTAATTTTGGTGTGTTTTTAAAGCAACATAGCTTTCTGTTATTACATTTTTATTGGTATCTAACCCACAAATTATACAATTCAGTATAAAACAATATAATTTACTTCTCAGATTCCACACTTTATTTTCTGATTCATTCAAGCCATCAAAATATTGACCAGATATATAACAAAGACATATATTTGTCAAAAGATACAAGGTCTCTTAGAAGCAAGGTTGGAAACCAAATTCCGTGCATTTTTTTACTATCAATTTAATGTTTTTAATAACTTGAAATTTAAATGTACATATAAAGACTAAAGGAAAAGAACTTACTTGTTCCTTCTATAAGCAGTTCTTGTCCATGGCTACCCAAAAGTGTACGAGAAAGAAAAGGTGCAAAATCCACAAAAATCTCTCGCAGAAGAGGTGCCGCCTTTTCCAGAGCATGTTCAAGTCTCTCGGTAATACTAATTGAAAGGAGATAAATAGTTAAAGCAATTGGCTGCTAACCCACGATCAGTGCTTCAAACTCAATGGGAAAAGTTGTGGCAGTCGGCTTCATAATGATTTACTGCCCTGGAATCCCTAAGGGTCAGTTCGACTCTTTACAGGGTTGCTATAGCCAGAATCAACTTAATGGCAATGGGTATAGACACGTGTCCTGGAACTATCAGCTGGCAAAACAGTGGAAGTATAGGGTGTCATTAACAATCTCTTACCATAGAATAACTTCAGTAATGTACCTCCCTATGTAACACAGAATAGCTTGAGTTGTTTGTTTTTTTAAATATATCTCAAAGAACCAGGATCTCTTATCCATGGAGGGCATCACAACTACTGTGCCACATGTATGGAATGCTATGGATGTTTAATTTTCAGTAAGAAAAATTTCCAACACTTCGGTCACTAAGACTCAAATGTTAAAAATGCTTCATAGCATCCGAAACTAGAATTTGAAGTGCATAATTCACATCAAGCAACATAAATGTGGCCATTAGATTTTGTGTCAGCTTGTACCTGTGTGACAGTGTAGGGGTGGAGTCCTACCAATCCATGAGGTCACAGTCTGATGATGCCTGTTTTGGTGGTGGTAGTGGGGCCTGTGGTCCTTTGTCTTCCACCTTGCTGGAACACTGTGTCTGCATCCAAGTGCCGCACCATGAGGGTCACTGACTGTGGTAGTTACATAATCGTATCAACGTGAGGTTATTAAGAATGAGGGGGTGGAGTCTAGCTTTTCAAACAGGACACAGCCTGATGATGCTTCCTTGTGGGCGTGAGCTTCTCAGGATTCTGGGAACTTCTCCTCCTCCCTGGAGGTGGGACACAGTTTGTCTTTGTCTTCCTGTTAGCAAGCCACATGGAGCCACCCTGAAGGCAGCCAGAGCCCTGAAAATGTTTCCACCACCATTGGATCCACAAGACTTTTCACTCACCAGCCTGTGATCTTCCTGCATTTGGCATCATTGCAAGTAGCTGCGTGGGTCTGAAGAGGAATTTATGGGCTAGTATTGAACATGGGGGCTAATATCAGACTTATGGACTTGATGCAGAATGGGCTGGAATGTTTTCTCATATACAATTGCTCTAGGATATAAAGATCTCTTTTACACACATATGAGTGTCTCTGGTTTTGTTTCTCTAGTCAACCCGGACTAACACTTTTACCATGGGAGCCAACCTCTGAGCTATCTGTATCCTGCCATGTTTCCACAGATCTTGGAGCCACATGACTCTGCACCTACCAGCCTGTGATCTCCCTGCTTTGAGTTTCATCTTTTTATGATATCAGTCTGAAGCTACTTGAGTCTGGAGAGGGCTCTGCTAGCATCAGCCCAATGGACTTGAGTTGAACTGAGCTGTGATGCCTTCTTGATATAAGATTATTTGACATAAAGCCCTTTCTCATACATATATGACTGTCACTGGCTTTCTCTCGACTACCTTGTCCACACAGTAAACAACAGGAAAATGTATCTATAATACAGCATCACTGAAGCTTTGGTTGATTGGCCTTCGGCCACTATCACAGAAACTCTACAAAAGTGGAACTCCAATGATGATGGCAACATATGTATCAAATTGCTTGACACATGGATGTATGTATGGGTTGTGATAAAAGCTATAAGAAGCCCCAATAAAATGATAAAAAATAAAGATAATTAATTTGTTCCCTTAAAAAAAAGTGGAACTCCAAACCACAAGCTATTAATTTATAATCATTTGAAATAAAAGCTATATGTAACGGTGTGACTAAAATATTTGTTAAATACATAGCATTTATAATTTATCACAAATTGACACCTGGTTCATCATCTTCCAAAGAAAAGAAACTCTTAACATATTCCAAACCCTTTAAGTGTCATTTATGTTGAGAAAGAGAAAGAAGAAGAAAAGCAATGTAGGCAGGTTAAAAGGGTCATCAAGAGGAATAAATCACAAATATCTGATTTAGCAGCGTTTACCTCATATTTGAAACTGGGTCTTGTGGAACTGAACCAACTGCTGGGACTGTGGGTAGTTTTGCTTGAGATGACCGACTACCTATGAAAGAAAAGTGTCTATTACTGCTTCAGTAACACTGGCATCTAACAATTAAGAAAGAGTTCCTGAACTCTTTCTTATACAAATTAAAAGTGTAATGACCACTGCAAGCAATCTTTACATGTAGGAGCTGAAAAGGCAAAAGTAAATTCTGACTCACTTAAGTAGGTTCAGTAGTCCCTTCTATTCAGCATCAAACTTTAATGACTTTACAAGTATTAAATTTTTTAAATCAAGGCAAAAAACAGAAATAGCTATTTATAAATTTAGCCTCGGATAATTATGGCTCCATCACCATGAAAACAAGTCTCTACTTAGGCATCAAATAACTTCTGTCACATCCCAACCGCTCCTGAGACCAGTGTGGAAAACATAATCCAATGCATAGCTGAGGGGGCCTCTAAATGACTTAAGGGGAATTTATTACTTACTCATTTGTGCCCTCACTGCAATTAGTGCATAACCTTTTGTTGCATTTTTCATATTATGATCAATAGAATTTTAAAATGTTTTCTTTCTACTATATTGCCCTCTTTAATATCAGAGCCCTCATCTTTCTCAGGTATCTAAACCTTGAGCCTAGGAAAACCTGCTACAATAAGAGGTCTACAACTAATACTTGTTACAGAATATTAAGCATGCCATATATACTCGTGGATAAGCTGAGTTTTTCAGCATGTTTTTAGTGCAGTTTTTGTGGTAAAATCAGGTGCCATGGCTGATATTCGGATCAGTTTATACTCGAGGATATACGGTGCTTTTCTCCATATTTTCAGAGGCTAATCTTCCCACGTGGCATACACAGCCTTCTCCATTTCCTACCACCTTTTATCTTTATATTTGTTCAAACTACAGCATAAAAGCAATTTCAACAAAGATATCCTATTTCACCCATTGCAATCAATACTTATAATTACCCCTATAGATTCTTATCCCTATATATCATATATTCATAGGGCATATATTTACCCATATATAACCCTGTATTGTTAAATCATGAATTAATTCAACCTCTTGCTAAAGTATAAAATTTTGAAACTATTTTGTCCGATGTACCATCATCATTATGTTCTCAATAAATAACTGTGCTAATAAATTTTACCTGGCAAGAGAAAATTAGTCACAAGAAAATTAGCATTGACAAATATAATGAATAATGAAAGACTGCACGTGTGTGTTGGTGGTGGGAGTGCAGGTGGATGAATAGGAACTGAAACAGCCTATGACAAATATAGAACGTGAATTTGGGGGACAATTGAAGAGTTCTAAACAGCTTAAAGAAGTCAGCGAAAAAAGTAAAGTTTCTCTGTAAGATTCAAGAAATATAGTGATAGAAAGATCATTCAATTTAAGCTACGGATTTAAGCTAAAGATATAAAAGAGACATTTCTTTGTAAAACCAATGTTTAATTAAAATGAGATGTAGTCAATTACTTAAGATGGCCCTTTTAGCCACAACCCCCTTTTGTGTAAATGTAAATTCTGGTCTCCATATATTATAATTTCTGTGTAATATGAAATCTACCCACCATGCCTACGGTTTTAATCTCATTGTGGAGAGAGTTCTCTGTTCAGGATTAAAGTGTGATGATCCTTAAGTCGGCACCTCACTGGAGAATGTGACATAAATCACTACCCCTTGAGGGTATGGTCTTCTAAGAGACAAAAACTGCATCTCCACCAACGCAAGCCCTTGTATGACCTTTGTTTCCTGACTGTTTTCCTTGCCCTACATGCTCATCAACTCCGAGGACTTGAGGATTATCACCGGAGCTGGATTCAACAGCTTACTCAGCTTTGTGGACGAGGAGGCTCCTCTAGACACACGTGGGGCTACCCCCGCCCTGAAACTGGAACCAACCCTCATCCCCCCAGAGCTGTGCATTTAAAAAACATTTTAAGGCTTTTTTATAAAACCTTTCCACCATTATACTCAATACATTTGTCAAATCTTGCAATTCCATTTTTGGAAACATTTTTCACACTCATCTGTTTGGATGACTGACAGCACCTCCTCGTTTTTTCTATTCACCTCTTCTATATTGTCAAATCCCTGTCCTTTCATGTCCCTCTTCATTCACAGAAACAAAAAAGAAGTTGCACAGAGAAAGGACAGGTGAGTAAGGTGTGTAGGGCAATAGAGGCATGCTGGGTTGTTTTCTTTTTACCAAAAACTGGCACATTGAGATAGCTACATAAGCAGATGCATTGTCGTGGTGACAAAACCAGTCCCCCATCTGCCACAAATCAGGCCTTTTTGGTTATATGCATTAGGTAATCTTTTCAGAACCTCTAAAGAGAAAGCTTGATTAACAGTCAGACTTGGTGGAGCAAACTCTATCTGTACTACATGTAACATTTTCATCCATTTGGGAAGTTGACGGACATCCAGAACAAGTCTGCCATCAGTTGATATTTCACCCTTTTGGAAACAAGAAAACAGCTCGTACACTTGAGTTGTTCCCGTAGTGCTGTCCTTGTAAGCTGTGCTCAACATCACAACAGTTTCTGCAGCACTTTTCCCAAGCAGGAAACAGAATTTCACAGTTCTCTTAAATTGGCCATCACAAAAAAAAATAAAAACAAGGTTCAAGTGAAACTGCTTTTACAAAAAAACTTACTGTGACCAGGAAAAAAAACCTTCCCAGGCAATGCCCGAGGGTGCACTAAGTCAGAGAGAGTTGGTCGATGCTTGCCTAAAAAAAAAAATGCATACTCCGAAAGCTCTGCTCCGTCCAGCACAATTGTGTTGTTTGGTTTGGTTTGGTTTGGTTTGGTTTGGTTTGGTATACCCTCGTATGTCTGAGCTTTTGATTTAGGACTTGACAGAAACTGCAACCTCATGAAACATTTCCTTAAAGTTCTGTGAGTTCTATGAGGTGTCCCATAGAGCTACAGATCCTAGAGATGAAACATCCTGAAAAAGCTGGACATTTGGCACATATTTAATCTCCAACTGCTTTGGACTAGTCTGGTACTAATTATTCTATAAGGAATTATTCCCATAAAGAAGCTAGAAAAAGTTTGGCCACCTACAGTGTCAAGTTCCTCTCTATGACACACACAGAGGGGAGGTGCTGTAAACACCTGGAGGGTTTAGGTACAGGTGTGTAGACCTTGCCTGCAGCTCAATGTGCCAGTCGAATTCCAGAACCCTTTTCAACGTCTGAAAGCAGTATCTAAACACAAATTGAAATTCCATCACAAAATCTAGAGCTCTAAGCTAAAAAAAAGTAGCAAATGCAAAACAAAAACAAAACTAAAAAGAAAGCTAGTAAACTAAGAGGAAAGGGGCTCAAGGGATCCCAGAATCTATACATTAACATAGGCCTGACATTCATACTCTGTTCTTTGGGGATGATTATGATGGGAGCGCTTCTGGGGACTAAATGGAATAAGCAGAAAGATTATAAAATTACTTAACTAGTATATAGAGACATAAGGGAAACAGATAAGGAAAAAGCAGCCCCTGGTATCCAGGAATTGGCCTTGTTCAATGAGCAAGGTGTGGGTTCTTAGGCACTGGCTTGAAACCTAGAGCTAGGTCTTGGTATTTCTTGTTGGATATAAAAAAAAAATCCCCATAAAACATCAGTACGTCATTCTATAACCATGATGAATCAAGATAAAAACAATACGATTCTGCAATCATGTCTGAGGATAGACACAAATAACTGTTGTCAGAGTAACACATGCAGTCACACATTCAGAGTCACACAATCCCAATTGTACGAGTCACTGCCGCATCTTTAAGTCTAAGAAACCTGTTAGCCTACCCCAAGGTTCTCCACAGTGTACAAACATCCTCCCGAAAAGAGCAGCACATCAGCTGGGCTAACCAAAAGTGTGTTCCCGGTGGCCTTCAGGTGTAGGACATTGACAGAGACTTCAGATCATATGAAGTCAGGCAGAGAAAGAATTGGGGAAAAAATTTGAGAATTAAAAAACAAAACAAAAAAAAAACACAGGAGTAAGGGGGAACTGATCACAATAATCGATGTATGGCCCCCTCCCAGGGAGACGGACAGCAGAAGAGTGGGTGAAGAGAGACAGTGGTTGGTGTAAGACCAGAAAAAAAAAGAAATATTTATAAATTATCAAAAGGACATGGAGGAGGGAGGGAGGGGAGGGAGCAAAAAATGAGGAGTTGATGCCAAGGGCTCGAGAAAGAAAATATTTTGAAAAAGATGATGACAACATATGTACAGATGCGTTTGACACAACAGATATATGTCTAGATTGTGATAAGAGCTGTTAAGATACCCCAATAAAATAAAATAATTTTTTTAATTTTTTAAAAGCCAAAGTAAAAAACAACAACAACAAACAAGCAACAGAGACAAAAAGAAAAATCAAAAAGTGGTCAAAGGATTTTAAAAGATGATTTCACCCAAGAACATATACATGTGGCCAATGAACATGTGAAAAGATGCTCAAAATCGCTAGTCATTAAAGCAATAAAAATACATCAAATGATTTTAATTATACAAATGAACATATACAGATCTAACAAGATTAATATATCCAAGAGAGATAAACCCTTCAGAAACAGTAACAGGAGTAATGGTTCTCTGAGGGTACGGGAAGAGGCGGGAGAAGGGGACTGATAGCAATGCTGACTCTATAACCCCATTCTAGGGGAATGGATAACAGAACTGTAGATGAATGGACACATTGGATGATGTTAAGATATGGAAAAAATAAAATAATAATATAATAAGGGTGCTGGGGGAGCAGGGTGGGGGAAGGAAGGGGATAAAGGGGAACTGATATCAAAGAGTTTAAGAAGAAAGATAATGTTTTGAAACTAATGATGATACTAATTGTACAATTATGCTTGATCTAATTGAATTGTGGATCATTATAATCTCTGTAAGAGCTCCCAATAAAAAAAATTTTTTTAAAGATACAAATGAAAAGAGTCAAATTCAATACCACTAGCGAATTTGGGGTCCATGGATTACACAGCAACTACTAACCAAGCCACTGATGGAAAGGTT